GAGGAAAATAAAAGAAAGCAAACTTATCCTGTTGAATGTAGAACTCTAATGAGGCAAACCAAATTAAAAAAAAAAAAGTGACCTCCTAAAGGCACAGAAGTGACTAATAAGAATGTTCTCAGATACCTCAGAAACAGGAAGCCTGTTAAGAAGTCAATGGCCTGAAAGATGATTAAAGTGTAAATGGGATACTCTGGGAAGCTAGGCCCAATGGCAAGAAAGCTAAAGGAATGATTTGCATCAATGTTCTCTTCAGAAGAGGTCGTGGAGGTATCTACATGTGAACCAGTCTTTCCAGGGACAAGCCAGAACAGTCTCAAATCAAATTGTCCACAGAAGAGATTTTCAGAGCAATTCAATAAAGCAAACAGTAGCAGAACTCAAGGACCAGGTAGCATTCAACCAAGCATTCTAAAGAAGCTAAAATATGAGACTGCTAAACTGCTAATTTCTGAAATCAGCCTTGAAAGCAGAGAAATACAAAGTGGCAAATGTGATGCTATTAAAAAAAAAAAGTGTAAAGAGCAGAGCTGAAAAACTACTGACCAGTAAAATTGATTTCTGTACCAGACAAATTGGTACAGATCATAGAAAATAGAATTGGTAAACACATCATTTTGTAGAGAGAAAACATGCCTCACAAATCCATTAGCATCCTTTGAAGAAGTTAATGAGAATCAGGCTGAGGGCGTGCCGCCTGATATAGTGGACTTGGGTTTTCGAAAAGCTATTCACATCACCAAAAGGTCTTAAAGAAATTAATCAGTCATGGGATAAAAGGGAGGGCCCCTCACATGGTTTAATACATGGTTAGGAAAAAAAAAAAGGAAAGAAAAAGATTAGGTATAAATTGCCGTCTTTGCCCAGTAGAAAACTGCAATCCAGTTGAATCCCATGTGGCTCCTGTTATTCTTATTTAGATTTGCTATGGAAACAGAGGTGGAGCCAGATTATGCTCCCACTCCATAGCTTTCAAATATTTTCTTTAATCAGGAAATCAATTTAATCCGAGTACAGATTGCACAGCCTGGTACATAGGCCTTTATGACCAGGAGGTCATTTCCAGGAGTATGTTGTTGAGATTTTGTGGGTTGGCAAGGGGGCTTGTCTGCAAGGAAGAAACTGTTTCTTAAATTAGAAGTTGCAAGGCAGGGATCAGTGTAATATCTACCTCAGGCTTGACAGAGGTGGCAGATATTTTTCAAGTGTATGTCAAGCAAATTAAATACCAATATTGACCCACCGTCAGCAAAGACATTTCTTGTCTGTGAGGGTGAGAGAAAAGAAACAGATGGCCAGAATGGCCAATCTGTGGGCCAGGATTATAATACTATAACAAGGAACAACTTGTTATAATTGAAACCTCAGATTTTCCCAAATAGTCAAATTCAAGTAGCTTTATTCTCCTCTTTTATGAATTGATGTTCTCTTTTATGTTAAATTAGGCAATCCAAGAAATCTAGGTAACTTGTTTTGGTGTAGGTATATGGAAATGAGTATCAAGAGCTAACCATACCTGGTCACATGTAGAAAGAGTTATCTGCAGAAATTGAAAAGTGAGACTTTTCAAACACTTCCAAATCTCAGTCCATGAGAGCCTTAGGGCAAAGACAACCTTTGTATCAATGTGTACGCATTTATGTTGTTTCTTTGATATTAAATAACTAGTATTTTTCCTTTTAGTGTTGTTATGGTCCCATTAAACGAGATGTTGTTTCAAAACCTATCTTTCAAATATACTGCACTATAACTGTTGCATACAATGATAATAACTCTACGCAAAAAAATTGTTCACAAAGTGTATTGATGATACTCAGGGTTATATTTTTATATTTCAAAGTCTTTTGCTTGCATAGCAGCCATTTTGGAACATGGTGGTTAGCATAATTATGTAATTTTTACTTATCTTACTTTACTTAAATCCAAGTGGCTATGTAACGGTCTAAGATCAATGCTCTTGCGTAAGAAATTCATGTATCTAACTTTCAGTGGAGCCATGAGTAAAGAACAGGTAAATCATTGTATAGTTTGGTACAGCTTGTGTATGTATACACTCATACCTGCATACACACTGTGCATCTTCTGGGAGTGCTAGAGGGCATGGAAGGTACTGCATACCTGCATTGGGTATTCTGTCTGGGAGACTCCTGTGTGGGGAAGTAATGATTTGCAGAAGCAAAATTAGTGAAAGTCTCAAGAAACCACAGCACAAAACTGTCATAATAGCTATAAAAATCCATTTTTCCACTCTTACCACGATGATAAAGTTAGTGAAATTGGTGCAGTTAAGGATGCCTAACACCTCGAAGAAGGATGGTTTGTTTGTTTCCTTTAGGCTTGATTATTTTTTCTCCCATCATTTAATTTTTAGTTGTTTCTGAAAATCAGCTCTCTTCAAACCAGCCACCCAGACAAAACACTTCAAATTCTTTTTTTTTCTTTCTTTTTTTTTTTTTTAAATTGTGCCCACAGAGATAATAAATATGTTATCCAAATATATCAGTTGGAGCCAAGTCTGAAGCTTCTGAAAGACTAGCTCTTCCCAAAACAAGTGGACTCCGTAATAAATATGCCACCGATACACTTCTGTTAGGTCACAAGAAAAGGAGTATGGCCTTTTTAGCTTCTTGTGGAAGAAAGTCCGGGCCCTGTAGGGTTTTATAAGAGCTGCTTCACAGATTCACATCAGTTAGTACTGCCCCTTTTGAGGAAAGTTGTGTTTGTTGTTGAAGGCAGCAAAGATCTCTTTGGTTTAGTTTCTATGTTGCTTATCAGATGCTGATTTAATATAAATGATGTGGACCCCACTGATTTCAAATAAATTGTTTCATTTTATGTTACATATAGATTTGGCTCATCTAGTACCACTGGCAACACTCCTGTGTGGGTATTGTTTGTCATTGCCTTGTGCGTTGTGTAATGCCAGGCACTGCCCTCAAATTGCTCCAAGCTCTGGTTAGAGCAAATCAGTTCACATCAATTGACAGTGCCGTGACAGGTTACACCATCTGAAATGTGGGCCTAATGAGCAAGGCAATGCCAATCTGATCTGACAGTGGCTTCTAGTGACATTGAGCAGCTGTCAACAAGGACACCAGTGCATGGAGATAGAAATTCTGGAACATCTACCTGGATTCTTCTTTTACTTATCCTCAATTTGCACAGATTTAGTGAAATTGATTGTGTTTGCAAGGAAACCACGTGGGAACTAGGTCAAGTAGCACAATTTTGTCTGTGAAATACTCCATTGAAATGGGCAGAATGATACCCACTGCTTTCAGGGTTGAATACAGCCCATTATTGTTTCTTGTACATCAAATGAGTCCAATCAGTTGACAGTTTCACAACAGGAATTAAAAAAAATAATAATAATCTTTTTCATGAGGTTCCTGAGGCATAGTTTGCTTAAGGCTGAGAAAAACTAGAAAGTATTTCCATATCTTTCCTTGTTCCTATACTCTTCCCCAGAAACCTGTTGTCAGTCACTGTTGATAGCAAGATGTTGAAAGAGCTGAATTTTTGGTTTGAGCTGGTAGGGCCATTTCTATATGTATGATGAAAGGGTGAATAAACCCATATTTATGCATCAAAACTATGTGTCAAAAAATCATGTAATTTCATCCAATTCTGCTTATATTTCCAAGAGATTAGGGAATTGCAAAACTGACTAAAGGAGACAGCTACCTGCACTGACATTGCCTCACTGAAATTTTCACCAGTATTCTTTTTTAAATATATTCGTTAAGTCCTGTCCCAGAAAGACTACAAGTGAAGCTAAGCCCACCAGTGGAAAATGACAATGAACATTGACTTTAGTAGAAGATAGACTGTATCTAGGGAACAGAACATTTCTTCTGCGTGGAGAATGCCCTTACCATCTGAGGGATGAGGTGGAAGATAATAAGTACAAATCTTTGTTAATGTAACCATAAAGTTTTACAGTTAAAATAGAAAAGGTCAAGCAGTCCAAAAATCAAGGTTTCTTTAGCAATCTTTAACTTGGCTGCATTCCACAGCTGGAGTATTTTCTGTTCTGTCTTTCTTTGTTAAATGTGTCATGTAATATATTCCTCTTTGACACTAAATGTGTATGATAAGTATACAAGGCATGAATTGCAGTAGAGATAACTGTTGCCATAGGAACCTTAACTTTTGCATTTGCCAAGTTTGAATCTATAATAGTGCAATCATAAGACTGCAAGGCAGGGGAAGGTCATATCCCTCTGACCCCTCCCTTTGGAGGAATCCCTTCCTGCACACCTCCCTGCCAAGCTCCATGCTCTCACCACCAGCAGGTCTGTACATCTGTGTGGGGGATGCTGGAGACAATGGACTTTTTTTTTTCTACCAGGGTGACTTTTCAGGGGCTGTTGTGGTCCCTTGAAATTTCCAGGTGAACCTATAGGAGCTTGCAGGCAGGTCTATCCTGTGCTGCCTTGTTCAACTAGTTCATGAACCCAAGCATTTAACAACACTTACCTTTTTTATTTTATTTTTGGCTATTCCAAATGTGTTTTCCCTAAACTTCTCACAGATACAAACATACAAAGCATCATATTTTATGACGTGAAGAGCCAGTATGTTTCTTGTATGATAACTTCTACTGAACCTGACCATAACCAGGAACCCTGCTACAGGGGCACGAATAAACTTATTTGTTCCCTGAGCATTAGCACCTACAATTTCCTAGAGGAAAACACTGCACAGAAGCTTTTCTCTTCAGGCCCTTCATCCTAACACAGTCCTAAAATGTGAATTTCTGCCTTTATAAAATTTTGATGTATTAGTGTTTGCTTACTCCCAAATAGAACTGAAAACCTGAAATATCAAAGGCATGAAATAGAATTGCGTAGTGAAACATCTGTTGGAGATAACAAAACTGCTCATTTTGTATTAGCTCAGCACTCCACTATCTGTTTCTGAAGAGACTCACCACCTTGTGGAAATTTGATCTGATACCTTGCGTGTGTTTTTTTTGTTTTGTTTTGTTTTGATCCAAGGGGAAGAGATACAGGAATACAGTCCATGGTGGAAATGCCCAGCCACTGTTGAGATGTTTTGATACAGCCTGGTGGCTTTCATGCCTCCAGTGTAAGATGAACAACTGCAGACATAAAACACTTTCAACAATTTTCTGTCCATTTCCTGAAATGAAGGGAGGAAGGAAGGAAGGAAAAAGGTAGGAAAGAAACAGAAGAAGGAGGGACAGAAAGAATTCTGCCTTTCCTCCAAAGCACATGCAGTCCTGAAAGACAGCCAACGGGAGTTGAAAGGTAGCTCCCCAAGCAGCAACCTTGTGTGCCATCACTTGATGAACGAAGTATTTGTTCTTTCTCTCTCTTGGGATGATCACTCATGCCAAGTATTCTGGCATGCTCCTGAGCCTGCTGTCCAGACGATATTCACTTACTAACAGGAGCATTTGTCTTTGGGTAATGCTCTAAGTTATACCACTGGGGTTTGCAGGGCATGAGAATTTTCAGTGTTGGAAAGAGAATAAAAGGCCACCTCCTGTCTCTTCAGGCAAGCAGAGACTCGGCATTCTCTCCATTTAGGCTCTTTGTTATTTTTGTCCAGAGATTGTCTTAGATCCAAGTCAACCAAACAAAAGCTGATTATCTCACCTTTAAATAGAGGGATTACAGCAGAGAAGTTGACGCTGGGTAACTGATCTCCCACTTGAGCGGCTGAGGAGGATATCCCTTACAATGAAACAAATTTGATGGAAGGAGGGGAAAAAACTGCCAGGCTAAAGATTAATGCAGAGCCATAGCTCCAAGCATCATGGCTGACATTTGACTCATCATTCATAGTTATTTCTATCTACAGGAAAAAAGAGCACAAATAAATAGCAGTTTTAACTCCCACTGCAGTAGAAAACCAGCTTTTCCTCTGGAAAGGTTCACCATAAGGGAAACTTTCTTGGGAAGCATTAAAGAGAAGAAAAACACCAGTGTCAGTTAATGCTGACATCTCTCTCTTTTCTCTTCCCACAGCCCTACAACAAATTTTTCGGTGTTCTGCTAATGACATATATTACCTACTTATAGTGGATGCCTTGGAACTAAATAGGCTACAATTTAATACCTGGAAATACCCTCTCCGGAACAACTCTCTTCTAGGAATACCATAGAACAGGTCCCAGGTTAGTACAAAGAAATGCTCGTCAGGATTCAGATGTTACATGTATGCAAAGGTAATTTTAAGTAACCCTCTCATTTCCCTAGTCCTAGTCTGCTTCTGCCAGTTCCCTTGGCACTGAATAAAGCATATTAAAAACGTTTTTAATCTTCACCAGTGAAACAAAGGGCAAGAGTCCTGATGACAGCCTGGGCTTTCTGAGGAAGATCTGGGGGCTTCTGGGATTTCCTGAGGCACAGGCATGCATAGCTGTTCCTCATGTCTAACTACATCCTCTCTACAGCCTTTGCTGGGGGAGTTTAGGGGTTATTGTAGCTGTAGCATGTTCATCAAGGACTTTCCTACTCCGGTGCAATCTTCCTTAGATCTACCTTAACATGTTGTTTTTAGTTAGCAGAGAAATGGAGGCTAATCTTTTTCTTCAGAGTAGGTTAATGCTGAAACCAGTTTCTGGCACATTCACGTTTCTAACTCTGAAATTCACAGAATCACAGAATGGCTGAGATTTGAAGAGATCTCTGGAAGTCATCTGGTCCAAATCCCTTCTCAAGGAGGGCCACCTAGAACAGGCTGCCCAGGTCCATGTCCAGGTGGCTTTTGAAGATCTTCAAGAAGGAGACCACAGCCTCTCTGGGCAACCTGTGCCAGTGCTCCATCAGCCACACAGTAAAGACGTGTTTCCTGATGTTTGGATGGAACGTCTTGTGTGCTAGTTTGTGCCCATCGCCTCTTGTAATTTATATATTGGTAAAATTTCAAGGTATTAAGAGTGCTGGTAGTAAGAGAAACCAGACACCATAGAAGTATGGTTCTGTTCTCCATTTAACCCACAGTATCTTCATTCTGGAAAACGTAATTTCAAAAGATGACATTTTCACTTGAGCAACATGGTTAGGAGTGGGCCTGATTCTGCTTTAAGTTGGTGCAATTTCAAGGAGATAATCCTGATTTATACTCAGGTAACCGAGAGGAAAATCAGATCCATTATATCCATAAGAGCAATCATATAATAAAAGAGCTGGAGTTTTAAACTGTCATTACAGCCAAGACAAATAGATTTTCTTGTCACCCATCCTCACAGCCTCTGACAGCTCAGAGCTCTGGTGGATGGGTTTTTGAACTGGAAGATGATAGGAACATGCTATGAAAACACCACAGAGTGTCTTTTTGGCATTTTACCTTTTCCTCTGGTCTTCGTTTTATCATCATAATCTAGATAAGAAACAGCAGTGCACAGTATGAGTAGCATTTTGATGTCATGCAGGCTGCTGAAGAAGTGGAAGATACAGCCTAGTTCAAGTGTCAGACATGCATCGGCAAGATTAATTTACAGCGAAGTCAGAAATCTGAGTAGGTTTGAATTACGCTCCTCCATAGTACAAAAAAAGATTGCACTATGAAAATTGATGTGGCATAGTGCAGAGGTGAAAGAAGAAATTGGTTTCTTTTTACTTTAAGGATAGCATCGGAGTCTAGTATTAAACCAAGCTAGTATGATTACCTAATACTGGCATTAGAAGACAAAAAATATTCATCTTCTTCTGGTCATGCCAAATTCCCCTTTTCTTTAATTGCTCTGGGGAAATATGGATTTACACCTGAACCAATAAAAGCAGGATGAACTTCTTTTCAACACGTAAGAAGAGAAGAGACACAGACCACTCTGCAAAGCAGAAGGAAAAATTGCAAAGTAATTTTCACCAGCAAAACACATTTTACCCTCCAGTATGAAGCAATGGGGAACAGCAATCAAAATTGATTGTTCCAGTTAAAAGTCTGCATCATGATGTTACCGAAAAAGTAGCATGATGAGCTCAGCTTTTCTGACAACGTGTCGCAGTAAATATAGACAGGAGCCTGTTAAGATTAAAGAGTTCTTTGGCACATCATACATTTTCTTGATTCACTGTGCATCATTAAGCTTTCTCTTTTTATGATGCTTTGTTTATTTCATGGACAAGCCATTAAATTCAAATTACATCTTGAAGGAAATTTACTTCTTTTGGGTCCTTCTGTGGAAAGCTCTCATTATCTGTATTTGTATTTCTAATGCAGATGAATGGGTCAGATCTTAATAGCAGGTCAGACAGGTGAGGTGGTTGTAGACATCAATAACACTACGCTTTTTTGCTTTAGCTGCTCAGCTTCTACTTTTTCTTTGCAGAATCTCCAAATATTTATGTAGATATGTAAATCAGGGTAATAAAAATGATAGAAAACCTTTTTTTTTTTTTTTTCCTCCAGCTCCTGTGCCATAATTTTAATGTTTTATTGCTGATTACAGTGACGTTAAATAGTCAGTAAAACAAGTATATCTGCATCACACAGTATGTAAACAGCATTTCAGATGGCTAAGATGTTTCAATTTTTTCAGTTGTATGATATTCAAAATTGTATCTTTCTTTAGAATCCCTTTACTTCTTTGGCTGCTCAATGGTCATGAATTTTATGAGTAAAAGGCTAGAGCTGTGTAATCAAATTTATTATACAGAAGTAGAAAGGCTTTACTTGCCATTAATTTGGAGAGAAATTGTGTCACTAAGTCTCTCCTTTCATTGAAAGATAATCATTTTGTAACATTTAATAAAATGCAAAGGTAAGTGCTCAACTGAAGGTCTTGTGCAATTCTTAAAAGTCATCTAAATATGATCACACTTTCTTTAATCAGTTTCTCACTTGTGCACCCTGAGAAACCTCTTTCACCCCTCTTACCATTAGGTTACATTAGGATTTGCTATATGCAAATAGCACAGCAAATATTTCTAGCTCAAAATTGAAGTCAGGTTTTTGCTTGTTTGTTTTGACAATAGAGTTTCTAGCTGGAGCTCATCCAAACCTTTACTGGGATTTTAGAAACCAGTGAAAAAATGGTTCTGATTTTCTGATTTCTGGCAACTCTTTTTTTATACCTTTCAAAATGTTTGTTTGTCACTTCCATTGTTGCTGGCTGCATTATCATTTACTACAGACATTTATGCAAGGTGCTGAGTTTCTTCAACGAGGACTGGAGGAGTCAAACGTCTCGGAAGACATGCGTCTCGGAACACCTTGCAGGATCATGTCCAAGACTTAGTAATAGTCTTATTCCTGTTCATGTGCAAATCATTGGTGCAGAGTGACCTTTGTGATAATGCTATTTCTTTTCAACTTACCTGTCATTTTTATTTGTCCTAATGTTTTGCTCTGTGCTGAAAGCCCAGTAAGATGCCATGTTACAAAGATAAGGCTTTCTCTACCATTATGCTGTCAGGAAGAAAGAGTGTTCCAAGGCTGCCTTCTGAGATGCATCAAATTGTTGTACAGGACTGCAGATGGACTAATCATTGCATCTGATACATACTCAGGAAGTCAGCTCAGCCATAGGTAGCCTGAGTCTCTGGGAGAGACCCAGGGTTATCTGTACTCCTCATGTAAATACGTTCTGGAGATCACCTGCGAGAGACCTGAGAGTCATTTGGGAAGAAAATGCAAACAGCATTTGCTGTCTTAAGCCACAGATTCCTCTAGGGAAATTATGGAAATAGATGAGAAACTCTCAGTCCAGAAGGTTGATAAACATAGTTCTTGACATAGTCACTGATTTCCATTCTGGTAAGGAAAACTGCATATATTCGCCTGACCATATTAAAACAGTACCTATTTGTAGTCACTAGTACCAGCTTAACCTTTGCCAATGGAATAGAGTCTCTCCTTGGAATCAGGCTGGTGTATTGCAAGTGGCATGTTAGCAGCAGGAGAACAAATACTTCCCTTGGCTTTAGCCACTATTAAAAATAAGTTTCTGCACTGATTTGCAGTCATTCCTCTCACATTCCCTTTATACAAGATGCATTTTGATCTGGGAGCTGATAGTAAGACTTTCACAGTACACAAGATCAAGAGCACATAGTTTGTGGAAGATGTATCACGCGTTAGAAAACATTCTTCTGACAGTTTCATATGTCTAAAGTCTTGTCGATGAGGCCAATAGGAAGGAGTTCAGTTCTGTTGGGCACATCCTTGGTTGACTGCTTTTCTTGCTCCTGTATGTAGAGGAATGGACTTGAATGTGGTTTAAAGCAGTATGTTTTAACTTGTAACAAATAAACTATCCTTGCCGGGTTTCTGCTTCCATTCAGCTTCCCAAACCATGAAGGCAAAATGATAACCAGCCTTCAGATCTGTCTATGTTATGTTTGACACTGTGAAAAAGTAAGAGCTCAGGGCACTTCTCAGAGGTTTATGAGGATGACATTTCTCTTTTGGGGGAAGACAGCATCGCAGTATATATACCCAAATTGCTTTTCTCATGACTCAGGAAGACTTTTCATTGTTAATCATATGTGGTAGACTGCAAGTGTTCATCTAAAACAGCTCACTGTGAGGAAGTTTGCATTGCATTATTATTCTCCATTGAGTCTTCTGTATAAATGTCTGTCTATATTCCTCAGCCACATGCCACAGAATCCTATAGGGCATCTGCACAGTACAATGCATCCCTGAATGTTGTTACTCAAGCTATATGCAGTGTCAACAAGAATATAGGAATTTCTTCAGTAAAACATACAGGCCACAAAGGGATGCATGTTGTAGTAGCTGCATAAATGCTGCCAGGCCTCAAAATTGTCTTCATTTCTGTACCTACGGAGACTATTCCTGTATGAAGTCTGTACATTTAAGGGCACTTTGACAACTAACTTCTATGAAAATCAATGGGTTTGACGTCTGAATGTCTTTAAAATTCTAGTCCTTGGTATCTGCTGAAGATTATCTATCTGAAGATATAAAATGTTCTCCAAGGAAGAAGAGTGGTCTACACATTCTCCAGAGACATGACCATAACTTGTGATGTTTGTCCAGTTCTTTGAGAGTCTTTGCAGCTCCTCAGAGGTAACTCTGTGTAAAAGTAAGAGTGTGCTCAGGCACTCTTGAGGAGAGGGCCTAGGCCTAAAATATTTTGATTATTTTAAATCATGATATTCCAAGTGAAGAACAGTTGAAGCATAGTCAAAACGATAAACCTTACTATAGTGTATTTGGCTTCCTGGTAACAAAATCCTCTCTGGTGTGTTGGTATCTATACAATGCAAATAACCTCCATGTATCTGGCAGTCTGCTTAGCAAATACGTTGTAGTCAGTACTGAAGAAATAGATTAGTTTTTAAACCATGAAATTATATGTTTTTTTGTTTGTATCTAAATAACATTGCATTTGTTTCCTTATTCCATACAGATTTTAATTTTATTATTGCCACCATGAAGCCCACACTGTAGTACTGATGGGATAGTTAGTTTGATATTGGTGTGCCAATACCAGCTGGACAGCTTTGCTGGTTGCAGCTCATCTCATCATGCCTCATCCTTGCTGGCTGCATCTCATCCTCATCATATTTCTTCAAGGGCTGGTAGAGGACATTCTTCTGATGCAGACAGCCAGGAAACTGGTTTATTGTTGTCCTCTCTAGTAATTTAGCCCAGTCTCAAAAATGACACCATTTTTTTTTCTTTTCTTTCTCTGTTTTTCCTCCATCACTAGCAGACCTGATTCCCTTCTCTGGCACATCAGACATTTTCCATTAGTTGCCACAAAGTGACCCTGGCACTGGTCTGGGATATCACATAGACAGTCAGCCATCCTGTCCCTCCAAGATTCATTGGGCTTCTCCTTGTCTTCACAAAATCTTATTATTTTTTTTTTTCCTTCATAAGGCCAACTTCTAAGTATACACATTTCAGTAGAGTCACCAGATCTCAGAGACTGAGAAAAGCCTGTTTGAAAAAACTTCATGACTTCTTTCTTGCTCTTGGATTTTCCAGGAGTGTTCAATTTCCTTTTCCAGCACCCAGAATGCATATCTTATTTTACTACTAACTGTTAGTCAAAAATGAGCTTTGTTTAATTCACTGGGCTTTTTGCAAAATGTTATATTTATACTAGACTGTTTTATGATATTTATGCTATGGCATAAATATTTTTGCAAGTGTACTATAAAACAGATTGCATCTCCCCCTCACTGTGACTTCAGAGAATTTTTTCTTTATTTTTTCTGAATGTAGGGGTGTCTTCCTATTGTTTTTGAGGCCACTGGCTCCAGGCGTACAGTTATTCATAGTCACACACACTTGGAAATAGTCATATACATAGATGATCATACAAATAGCTTTCAAAGAATGTAATCTGTATTTGGGAGCCTGGATTAAAGGGCCTTTCATGGAGATTCAAAACCTAAACAAAAGCATAAAGAATAATTAATCAACATGAAAGTGGGTAGAAAGCCTTCAGAACTGGTGAGATTTCTAAAAAATATTCCTTATCCAAGTCAGAATTAAAAACAAAAGTGTTTTCTGTTTTGGATGCCTCTCATTCAGAAAAAAATGGTATTGACATAAATGTCTTGATTTCAAAACTATGTGTTTTGATTTAGAGTTGCTCAAATCTTTTTCAGAGAAATTTCACAGAAAATTTACTAAAAAGTCAACACACTCCTAGAAATAACTCCAAGCTGAAGAACACAATGCTTTCTTTAATGAAGTTCGGCGCTGGTGTTGGGGACTTGGTGCTAGCTGCCAGATTAGGTTTCTAGGTTAAGACCTATGATTTTCAGGCCCGAACCTGGGCTATAACAAATGTTTGAGAGGGGAAAAATCCCACCAGAATGTCCACCTCAGAGCAAGGGAAGGAAATCAAGCAGACCAGGAACTTTCTGTCTAAATGGCATCTAATGGTCTCAAATGTCTATAGCATAAAAAAAGTCCTAGAAACCCATTCCTGTTTGGGGCCTCATAGTCCTTAGGGACTACTGTCCACAGTAGGCAGGAGTTAAGCAGCCTGGAGCCCATCACTCTTCTCAAAATGAGTTCAGTTTGTTTGTTGAGAAATATTGGCCTGTGGATGAAAAACTACAGAGGCATTCAGATGAGAGTAAACAGTTGTATTTGGAAGGGTCACTCTGAAGGGAGATGACTAAAGCATAACAGCAGGAATGTTTTAGGGCCAATCTTAACACCCCAACCCTCTTACAGAGTTAACATCTAATTTATTGCCCTCTTTTATGTGATAGTACAGAGGGTAAATGAAATGCATTAACAAAATTTGCAGATAGTAGTAAATTGGGAGGCACCAGAGAGGGGAGATAAATACTACAGAAGAGCCTAGAGATTAGAAGCATGACTAGGAGAAAAAATTAGATTCATTTTACAAAAATGTAAACTTGTAGGTCTGCTCAGAATTAACCAGTGCACAGATACTGTAAAGCAGAGAGACAAATGGAAGCTTTTCATTGGCCTTCATTGCTGCTTCTGTAGAATTTTAAAGTTTCTCCTTCTTTTTCTACCAGTTCTCAGACAAAGGAAACACCATCAGACCCTGATGTCTTGGCTTGGTATTTAATGGACCTTACTGCTGATAGAATAAGCATGTGTTCCAGGAACAATTTCCCACACAATATCTATTTAAAGGGATGTGCCAGCCGCACTGGATGGGCACATTTTAAGGATAGTATTAGTATGTCATTGTGTGCTTTTTTACAGAGGTTTGAGGTGTGTAAGTGATTGTTAGGCATCAGAAAAATATTCTCCATTAAGACAATCAAGTGATGATAAAGCTTTTTTCAGTTTTTGATCCAAAGA